AAAATAATTGTCCATTAAATGGGGTATGTTGTAAAGAAAATGTATTGTATTGTGCCGAAGTAGACAATGACAGTACAAAAACATACATTGGTTGCACTGAGGGCCACTTTAAAAAAGGTAGTATAAACACATCTCGACATATAGAATACCCGAACACAGTTTCAGTACAAGGCTAACAAAATATTATTGGACTTTTAGAGAAAAAATGAAAGAAGTCCGGCCATTAAATAGTAAAAACTGGTAAAGTGAATAGCAACTCCCGTAAGCTGTGTCAAGAGAAGTTAGCCATTGCAACATACAAGTTCGGTGCTAACTTGTTGAATGAGAGGTCCGAAATTATTGCAAAATGACACGCATAAAGTTGACTTTAGGGATAGATGAACACGGGTGAAGTTGGAAAAACAATTCTAATTTTTTTACCACTCTTCATCGTTATTTCCAGTGCAGCATTAAGAAATTTAAGTCCTTGTGCTGTTGTATGTAATGATTTCTCTGAGTTAATTACCTGATGAAACCTTGGCGGTCAAAACCGCGATAGTGTTCCATTCAGTGTTTTATTATTTTAGAATATTAAATCGCTCTACAGATTTGATTTTTCTAGCATATTATTGACCACTTTTTTAACACCTCCGATTTTAAACCACTATTTTTAGTGTTTATTAAATTGAACTGTCCGAATGTTTTGTATTTCCGAGCGCTTTCGGCTATACCTTTAGCTATTATCAAGGATGATTCGATTATCAGCTTAGTAGAGTGTGTGCATTCTGTGTATGTTCAGTGTGTGGTAGTGATGTTTTTAATTTCCGAATACGGTTAGCACACTGTGGCTTTGTTCATAGTTAATATTGCTAAGAGTTGGCTTTTTCTTTTTTATTATTAGAGCTTCCATTATTTTTAGTCTTTTTTTGCAAGTGGATGCAGTTAATATATTTGTGTTTTCTACTAGTATGTTCCTAATAAAAACATCACTACCACACACTGAACATACACAGAACGCACACACACTGGAACTAAGCTGATAATCGAATCATCATTTGATAATGGCTAAAGGTATAGATGAAAGCGCTCGGAAATATAAAACATTTGGACAGTTCTTACACACCCTTTGTCCAGAAAAAGAAAGCTCTTGTCAGAACACAAGAAAAATTAAATAAAAAGCTCAACCGTAGTACCTTGTCTGTCGTTTTTAATGAAACATGCATAAAGGAAGGATTGCTGCCTAAATATATATATATATATATATATATATATATATATATATATATATATATATATATATATTTGTGTGTGTGTATGAGAGAGAGTGTGTGTGTGGACAACCAAACACTCTGATATTTATATTGAGCTTAAATAGCGAATGCCAAATTTTACAACATGCAGTTTCCAAATTCAGTTGGGGGTGAATTGAGTCATCGTGCTTTTCTACTCACCGACGTTTCCCAACTGTTCTTACTATACTGTGCATAAAACAAAATCAGAAACAAACAACGCACATGCGCAAAATTAAATTATATATGCATGTGTGTGTGTATGGTTTTTTGGATTGATTGATATATTTTTTATACTATCAGCCTTTTGCGGGTTATTTAAAGGTATAAAATATTTTTAGATTGTAAGTATTTGGTGGAAATAATGATTGATTAATACATGTCCTACTAATTAACCCATAGCTGGGGAGAGAAGAGGTGGATTTGTACCTTTCCCTAGGGTATTTACGATAGAATATATATGACCTAACTGGAATTGGAAATCGTCTCATATTCTATTTTGAACCGTTAACCATTACACCACACGCACATCCAAGCTTACATCACTTGGTATTCCCAAGGTGTCACCCATCTAGGCAGTGACCTGACTCGACGTCGCTTAACTTTGTATGATCGTATGGGGACGTGATTTCCCTTCTTAAAAACTAAAAGAAAGAAAAGTTTTTTGTTTTTTTTTTCTTTTAAATTAGATTTTGTTGGACATAGAGTATTAATGTGTGGGGAAACCACTTTGATGCCAAGTGTGCTTTATTACTGAAACACAAGAAGCCACCACAGCAAAGCAATATTTAAAAAAACAAACAAAAGAAAACATGCAAAAAAGCATATTTTCTTTAATAATGCTTCTTTTCCGGTAGACATTAATTTCACTGGTTAAAAACAGAGAGTCCTACTCAAACAGGTGCGCTCACTAAATGTAATGTTTATAACAATAGGAAGTAATGTCGAATTAAAATAAAAACATTAATAATAATAATCATAATAATAATAATAATGATTGCATTAACTGCATTAAAATACTTTCGAGTAGAAAAATAAAAATAGCGGTTATGGAGTTTGAAAAATCCAAGCGAGAGATATGCATATCTTAAATAAGTAAACTTTACTTTACAGTGATAGCTTTGTGTGGCTCATTTAATGAGTGTACAAGTTTTATTATTATTATTATTATTATTATTATTATTATTATTATTATTATTCGTATAAGTATCAGCCAAATATTTGGAATGTGGCACATTCGATGATAATGGACATTATCAAGATCAGATAGTAGCTGTCTTTAATTTTTTTTTTTAATTCGGCTTTTTAGTGATAATAAAGAACCAGACGATTTATATATGAAATTCTTCCTTAAACAGAATATATTTCTTCTAAATTACATCCCAAATATATATATATATATATATATATTTGGATTGATCGAGTTTGTGACTTGGGTTTCCACGCTATTTGCAATCGTCAGAGTTTGTCTGATGATCGCAAATCCAGGAAACCCAGGGTCTCAAATTCACATCAATCCAACTAAATATGTTAGCTCTATCACTGATATTGAGCGCTTTCCAAAATTTACCGATTATATATAATATATAAATAATATATATATAAAAATTATATATATATATATATATATATATATGTGTGTGTGTGTGTGTATACACACACACATCTATAGATATATATACATAACATTTTACATATATATATATATATATATGTATGTGTGTGTGTGTTCATAGTTTATCTACCTATCTATTATAATTTGATCATCGAAAGCAGTAATACTTTTTATCAAACTCTACACTTCTTATTCTCTTTCAGATATTTGTATTGGTATATTTATTATACCTATCTTATTTGATTTTTGTTGGTCAAAAAAAAAAAATTTGTGTTTCAAATCGGCAAAAGAACTATTTTCTTTAATCTGCAATTCTCCTTCAGGTCTTAGATTCTTTGAGAGCCAACGTCAGGAAGCGGTCTTCCGTTATTTTTTCTTTCCTTCGTTTCTTTTTCATACCGATACATATCCGCTTACTTCCGACATTTTCAATCGGGAGAAAAGCACAGTGAGCCTCTTTGGGCTTCAGCCGACGGGGAAACGTCGTTTTGATCTCCAGGTGGGAACCTTTGTCCAATATTAATTGGTAGAAATTCGTCTGGAGTAGAGAATTTCGATTCGTGTTGTCTCAGTTCTAACACCGGGTTTACCGTACTGAGGAAATCTACCACTGTCTGCATTTCTGAGATGATGTATGATGTACACGATTTACATTATTCGGACTATTGTCCAAATCTTTGTTGTCATATTTATCACAACGTTTCAGCCGTTGTACGCTCCGGCCTTCTTCAGGTGGTGGGAATGTCGAACTGAACCCTTTATTTCGCTCTCTATTTAAAGGGGACATGGCACAGTGGATAAAAGCGTTGGTTAGATCCAGTGACAAGACCGAAATAGTTGTGAGTTCAATACCAGGTTAAGGCAGGGGATAACTTGGAGAGGTGAATTAACAGGAGATAACTGATAACTGACATCCATTAGACATGGCACGTGGAACTAGAACAGTCTACCCCAGGGAGCGAAATAAAGGGTTCAGATCGACATTCCAACCACCTGAAGAAGGCAGGAGAAACGTACAATGGCCGAAACGTTGTGATGGCAACAAAGATGAGGACAATAGTCCGAATAATGTAAATAGTGAAATCTACCACGTTGCTTTGTCCCCACTTTCCACGCTCATGCGTTATAACCGGTGCAAAACAAACCCATTGATAAAATACATCTAATATATACACGGAAATATATTCGCTTGCCAATAAGACAACACAGACAGAGTATGGAACTTTTGTCAGAAGTAAATGAAGATGATTAATATCTGGCACAGAATTGAAAGTATTGATAGTGAGATAAACGAAGATTGCGACTATTTTCAGATAGTGATTCCAATTCCAGTCGAGCCCGTTATATTCACTTACGTGTAAATACCCTTGGGAAAGATATATATATATATATACACCTCTTCTCCGCCCAGCTATGCGTTAATTAGTAAGACTTGTATCAGTAAATCATTATCTCCACCGAATACTTACAATCTAAAAAATATTTGATACCTTAGAAATAACCATCAAAAAGTTGCTAAACTGTAAAACATAGATCAATCAAATAAGTTGTTTTTAAGAAAATCAAATTTTGAAGTTTGCTGCCTAAACATATATTAGTTACCGTTTGGGTTAACTAAAAGCAAATAAACCAAAAAAAGAAAGAAAAGAAAAATTAGGTAAGCTAAATAGAATTAAGAAATAAATAGAAGATCGATAGATAGAAAAGGAGTTTTGATAACTAAGCAAATAAACCAAAAGAAAAAAAGAAAACATTTTAAATAATTAACCAAAGATAGATAGATAGATATCCACAATGGGATAGATAGATAGATAGACCAATAGATAATGAAAAGATTGATAGATAGATAGATAGATTTAGATTGGATAGATAGATAGATAGATAGATGGAGGATAGATAGAATATACGAACAATGAGGTTTAATTCTTACTAGTACAAGAGGATATGATTAATACCAATGAGGTTGAAATTACAAAATTGTGATCTTATACCAAAAACTGAATTTTTTGTATATATTGTTTATTGCTCACCGTCTAATTGGGTCAGGCGACCCTTGAAAAAAGCTCATAAAACAAAACAAATTTACATGTCATTTTTTTTCTGTTTTATGATATTGATCCTGTATTTGGCCAGGGAGCAACTCAATGTAGAGGGTTACAGAGTAAGAGGCATAGTTTGTGCGTGTATGTGGGGAAGATAAAGGTTAACCCTAGATTTTAACATCTTAAGATTGTTGTGATCGGGGAGTCGGTTTCACAAATCAGCCCTTTCGTGGGAATACGTTGCATAGGTGCAACTTACATCCCACCAATAAAATACGTAGAGAATGAGGATTGTTCGTTGCAATTTGCGTATCATGTCGGATCTTAGCCGTAAAGGTCAGAACTGGTAGAACTAATGAATATAGATTGTCTGAACGCTTTCAATGGAAATAGCGATAGAATATCTAAAGGCTTGCGACGTTTCATTTGTGGGAAAGGGGTGGTAGGATGGAAAGTAATTGATCGCTCGGAGACGCTTTTTGACTCTAACAAGACTGGAAAGTGAAAACTTGGCTTTCTCTGCTTAATGAGATAATCATGTCGTTCAGCAGGATAATGCGACCTTTTTGTTTGCTTAGCCTCGCCAGATATAGACTCTCACATAGATGTCATACATGGCATTCAACATGTTTCGAAATGGCTAAACTGACAGCTGCGTACAGTCCTTTTCTCACATCATTGATTAAAGATCTTAATAGAGGTACATATTTTGATCAATGCTATAAAAACAGACATATGAAAGAAAGAAAGAAAGAAAGAATGAAAGACAAGAAGAAACTAGAAAAAGAAGAAAAGGAGAAAAGAAACTGCTACCCACAGTAAATGCCAATATGGAAGAAAAGAAAGAAAATATTAGAAACCGCAGACCGGTTATCGTTCCTCCCTCATCAAGGTTCAGATTGACGAACTTAAATCGACTAAAAAAGAAAAGGGGAAGAATGTTAATAAGAAATACATAAGAATTAATATATTGACAAAGGTCTACTTATAAACAGATCACGCTAAAACCTTTCCTTTTGCTTTCACAACGTCGGTTTTTCTCAGTTTAATACAAATTAACTTAATTTTAAAGTGATAGAACGCGATCTACTCAATACCGAGAACATATCCTCACAGAAGGACAAAGTGCATTACCTATTTTTGTTGTACAAAATGTTCTGAGATTGCAGACCCAGATGTAACGGAACACTTATGCAAATTCTCAGATCGACTTTTCAAATCAGGGCCCCCATCACTTACCGTCCCAATCGATAAATGTGATTAAAGAGAATGCTATGGGATAGTTGTTAGCCTTCCTGAAAGAATATTTTAAAAAAGTAAACGGGACGTTGGAATAAGTTCCTGCGCCCCCAGGAGCAGTACAGTGAAATCGACTGATGTTCAATTGGACTATGTGTTCATTAACATTAAATGGCTGATTATTTTCCGGACAGACTTCGTATATATATATATATATATATATATATATATATATATATATACAGTTCCTTCTTATAAAACTTTTTTTTTTATTCTTAGCTTTTCTGTAGCTACAGATACCTCTCCCTGTCTTTGTTTATTGATTTATTCCAAAGCTGTTAGTATCTTTCCTAATCGATTCATTCTAGGCCAATTATTTTCGTTCGCTAAGATGTAATGCATTGTGCTTGAAAGTAGGGAGTTATTTTCCAACACCAGCAGTCGATGCTTAATGTCATAAAGACATTGTATTTCAAGGCAAAGTGGACAGGTTTATGTAGAAAATCGGTATTTCAAAATAGTTCTACTTGAGATTCAACTGCTAGGATGTAACAGCGAGAGAGAGAAAGAGAGAAATACAAAAAAAAAAGACCAAGAGAGAGAGAGAGAGAGACAAAGAGAGATAAACAGAAATAAATCCTGAGTTAGAAAGATGCGAACAAACTGATATACAAAAAACTGGCATGAAATTTTTCCTAGCATTTCGGAGATTGTATCTGCAATACTAATAATACGAAACCTACATTAAGTTCTTATCACTCAATACTAATAACACAAACCCAACATTAAGTTCTTATATTGTGTATACAAACACCACATTCTCTCGTAGGCTAACTTGTAACTTATCGAAACTTAGGCCAATTTGTAAACATTTGAAATAAAAAATTTAACTATTAATTTAAGAAATTATTAGTAGACATACGAAAATACGATAGAACACTCAGTATAAAGAGTGTCAAATATTCACGCCAAATATATCTTTGACTATGGGAGACGGCAATTTATAATACATATAAAATATTTGTACTACGTGTAAATTATACAATATATCCGATTTCTGATGCTGTCAAACATGGTGAAACTGTTCTAGAAGCACACGCAGAAACACACACACACATGCATACGGGCACCTCGACGTGGTGTAATGGTTAGACAGCTTGTCTTGCTAGATCAGTTACGAATGAGTAGTGAGTTCGATCCTCACTGGTGTGCCCCCTTACTTTCGGCCCTGTGTCACATCTAAACCGTGCTTAGAAAATCACTATGTAGTATATACATACATAGATCTAGGCGAAGAGCGCTTTTTTCTTTAAGACTATTTCTCAAATATTTAGGCCGTTAGACGAAATAAAATACTGTCTAAAATAAACGGAATGTCTACTCAAATATGGGTATCCACTAAAAATAACGTTTGAAGCAATAAAAATGTTAGATTAATAAAAATCCATTGCTTCTTTAGAAATTGCTTTGTTTGCGTTTCGAATATGAACTTAACAGTTATGACTTTCGTAGAAATATATACGAGTACATTGTGCTTTAAAGGCTGATAGAAACTTGCTTGATTATTAAGCTTATCAAGATTATTAAGTAGCCAAGTGTTCAAAAGCACGTCGGATCAAACGAAAGTTTCTCCTGCAAAAGGGGACGCAGGTTCGAATGCTGGAGGGCCCATTTTTTAAAGATTTCTCGGATGATCAGGCCAGCAGACGAAATAAAATACTATTTAAAATAAACAGAGCATCTAGTCAAATATAGGTATCCAGTAAAAAAGTTATATACTAGCCTAAATGCCGCCCTATGGACTGACTTTAGGCTAGCTCCTGCAGAGGGATTTTGGGCTTTCGGCATTTTACCTTGATCGTCCTATGTACATAAAAGTTATAAGAATTTAGAAATAATAAAACTATTTTACCTTTATTCGACACCTTAATTCAGCATAATCTTTCTTCGTATACGTAACCGATCTTCGTAGGTTGTTTATATTTATTTTGTGCGCAATTGTTTTTTATTTTAAAATCAACATTATTTATGATCTCTTCACATAAAGACACTTTTAAAAGACATTCGTGAACCCGAACTATATAATATTTCCGATAAGTCACAGTACGCATTCTAAAAAAGAAGAAAAAACACATGAGCAACGAACCGTGCCCAACTTAAGTTTTAATTGGGGTTTAATCAAACGATATCTATTGCAATTGCGACGAAAAGCGAAATTAAAGTTAAACCTTTTATAAAGAATTGTTTTTTTTTAACTTTTCACTCTATCCGATATTTAAATTTAACTTAAAATGAGTTATTTATTTATATTTTTATGGCGTGTAGCTACAGCAGTTACTAACTATTACTTCAGATTATGATACGCCAAGATCGAAAAACGGACGGACGGACACACATACACTGCGCTTTAGATAGATAGATAGATAGATAGTAATGATACGATATGGTAATCCGTATGGAATTTCCAGAAGGATATAGAACCAGGGAGAGCAAAGAACAGAGCAAAATTACTATTAATTAAAGTATATCAAACACTTAAAATCCCATAGGTAATAGTTAATAATAGGAAATAAAAATTATTACCAATGGGATTTTAAGTGTTTGATATTCTTTAATTAATATATATATATATATATATATATATATATATATATATATATATATATATATATTAAAAAATATAGTTTTACGGTATGCTATATTTATGGATTAAAGTGCTCAATATCAGGATAGGGCGTATGTAAATAGTAAAGTGGACATTGAAATCAACGTTCAGAAGCGACGGGCAATGTACGTTGTCTTTTTGCCCGACTATTTATATATACACGTCTATGATGCGTTGTCTGTTGTATTGCATTGTGGGTAATATATTGTATTGTTCTAACGGTTGGTGGGCGGTAACGGTTGCGTTTCGAATTGTTTTAGGGTCTAATGAGTGGGAATAATTGTGGATCCGAATGCAGATTTTTGACTATCTCTAGTGTTGTTAGTTAACTTTTTTATTGATTATTTTATTGTTGGTTGTTTTGTTGTTGTAGGTTTTTTTATGTTTATATTTTCGTACGTGGTTTGTTAATTTATTTATTATTTACTAAGTTTATTTACTTGTTTTTGTTTATTTATTTTATTTTATTTGTTTTCGTTTATTCTTAATTGTTTTCAGTTTTCGATCTTCAAATAACGTAGTAAAAATTTGTTTTCGTGTCTGCATTTGGTGATGATTCGTATCGTTTATTTAGTAGTTTGAGTTGATCTGGGAAGGTAATTATATTCTCCTCTAGGTAGAGTTTACAATTTTGCTATTGATTGTTGTAGACTGATGTTGTTTTCCTTATTTTCCATGATATTTTTGGTGTGATTTGTTTTTCTTTTTTCTTTTTTTTTTAATCTCCCAGATATGATTCGACAGCATTGTGCTATTCGCTTATTTACTATTTGTAACGATGTTTTGTGTGCGTAGTTCTTTGTTTCCAGGGTCCTTCAGTTACTCCTATGTATATTTTTCCTTCATTATCTTATATATATATATATATATATATAAAATATATATAAATATATTAATGTATATATATATATATATATATATATATATATATATATATATATACACAAGAAAACCGAAAAAACAATAGAGCTAGCGCCTAATCAAAAATCGTGAGAGCGGCAAAAATTTACCATGATTTCCTTCAACTTTCCCGATAAAAATGGTCTTCAAAAGGCTCAGAGAACACACACATATCCTGCAATATAAATATATGAATATAAATGGATATTAATAGATTAACAAACTGTTATACGTACATATACTGATACCTCTATATAAACATATCTAATATTAACCTGAAATGAAAAAATCGCAGCTATCTAATAACGTATAGATACTCCATTGCCTAAATGACGCCAGTTAGGGGAGGCGGACCGGACCTAAGAATTCCTTAGTATCATTGGTATATCTATCCAGATCTGTTTCAAGGCTTTCGGTAACTAAATTTATTGCACGTGGCTGCAGGAACCGTTAGGAGGTCTGCTCAATGGGGCTTAAATCTGGTGGAACATTTGAGAACCTGGAAGTGTTCCTGAAATCCGTTTGTGCCATCCTATTGGAACCATTTACAAATTTGGTGGAGCATAGAGGAGTGTAAATTGTCTACAAGAAAATTTATGTATATCACACCTGACAAGAGAGAATCTTATTTCAGTAGAACATGCCCCAAACAACTAGCTAGCAATCCTGCCCACAAACTGGATCTATAGTCTCATGCTATCTTCTCCATTAATCACTAACTCGACAGCCTACTAAAACGAGCTAGAGAAATGACTCCGAATCCTAGTTGACATGGTACCAGTCTTCCACAGTACCGATGATGACATGATGTCAATAATGGTACTCTTGTTGGCTGCTGATTACAAGACACTTTATCGAACGCTGTGTATTCTATCCAGTGAGCTGACTAATTGGTTTATATACGCCAGCATTGATTTGATCCAATGTCCATATTCCTTGTTAGACATCGTCTGCGCCCTTGTTTTTTTACAAC